CACAGGGCATTTTGCAGGAACAGATGACCAGCTGTCATTGGCAGCATTTAGCTTTTCATGAACATTCAGCTCCTTACAGTAATCCATCTTGCAAGACTGACTCGTGAGTTATCACTAAAACAGGCTGATTTGTTAGTATGTAGCTCCATCCATCAGGAATAATAACAGCCATTCTTTTTGCCAACCACATCAAGAGATAGACCTCAAATTGATCATTTTATCATGGACAGCATTCTGAAACTTGCCACTGGGCACTAAATTAAAAATAGTCTGAATTTCAGAGACCCAGGGCACTTGCAATGTATGAAGTTGTGGTACCAGTGAATACWCAGCAGATTTTCAGAAACCCTACTTAAAACGTTTTATTCCTTGTACAAAATGTACTTTTACAATAGGAAAATATAGTGAAAATTTGGTTTAACATTGTTTGCATTTACATTTATATTCTCTTTTATTTCAAGCTCATGAATCATATGGTTAGATACTAATATCTTTCCACAAATGAAAGTAGATAATTACCAACCAGCTACAYAAAATTTCCTTTTTTTAATAGATTTATTTTTGATATAGATATTTAGGAACATGAGTGTACAATATGAGAAGCATAATCTACATAACTCACATTGCAGATCACCTGCACTACTGTGAAAATTCCCATGGGTAGTTATATACAGGAGTATATTTGTCAGAAATTGCTCCCTCTTGCACAAACCTACAGAAAAGGAGTAAGGTTATCCCAGTGAGCTGTTGCTTCTGAGATGGATGCAGACCCACTAGATTTGCTTTCATGTTCAATTTGTTCATAAGTTGTCTAGCATGGTTTCATTTTACAGAGAAATAACCRTTTATTTATTTCCTACAGTCTGCAGTAATATGATATTACTAAAAAGATATGGTGCAAAAGCATAAAAAGACACATCTCTTAAAAGGATTTATCTTAATTTATTAAGTGGGAAAAAATATTGACTATAAATTTGMATTGGGGACAAGCAAGAAATGCACTGAAGCATACAATGCAGGACAAAAGTGGATTCATTTATGTAATTTTTTAAGAAAACAAAGCAGATAAAAAATAAAATCATGAAAGTGTATTATTTAGAGAAAAATATAGATGCAGAAAAGAACCAGTGGACAGACTTTTAGCTTGTCTGGTTGCCGAAGTTGAATATGTGCATTTCCTCATTATTATAGAAGACACAGAGACATTCCTGATTTTATTGTTTGGTCTATTAATTTTAGTACAGGTGTCCCAGCTTGGGATGGCATTGGTATTTTAAGAGTCTTTCTTTGTCATTTTCAAAAGTTGCATGGAAGGTGTCAGATCACACTTCACAAAAGATGGAAAGCAATAACCCACACAAAAAGACTGCATTGTTTCTGCATTGCAGACTTTTAAAAGTTCCCAGTACTTTGGGTGACAGCTTTTCCAGGTGCAGAGCAGAGGTGGAGCCCATGCAGTTCATGATGAGTGCCGAGAGGAAGAGATTGCAAAGATCCTTCTGGCCTCAGATGCCTCWGTGATCCCACTCAGATGTGCTGTGAGGAGCTGAGGCTTGAGCCTCGTTAGGATCACAGGTTTGTGGGGTGACTTGTGACAGGAGGGGCCCCAGGAGCCTCTGGCACAACTCTGCTCAAAGCAGGGTGAGTAGTGAGGCTGTGCTGGATTCCTGCTGTCGAGTCATTCTTCAGGCAGCTCTAGGAATTTGCAGTTCTCCATTACATCAAAGAAATTGGGTCAGGGGGAGCTGTGAGGACCTGTGGGATCTACCAACTGCAGCTCTTCTGCACTTTTCTTTGAATTCACTCTTGCTGCTAGACTTGCTATTACTTGATTTAGCTTTACTATTTAAAAGCTGTGCTTCTGCCAAGCAAACATCTACTGCTTTTGCCCTAAATGCATGTGATAATAACTATAGCTCTCAGACAAAAGAGTCTGCAGGATCAAACCCTTTATTAAACCCATTTATTTTCCTGAAAAGCCTTTCTTCAGTAGAAACTGCTTGAGGGAAAAGATCTGAAACTCTTGTTCTTGCAGGTACTATCACTCCTGTCCACACAAACTCTTGAAGGCAGAATATTTCTGCCTGTCTTCTGCCTGTGTAGATGCATGGGGGTAAAATATGAAGTATTTTTCTCATCCTARAACTGTTACGACAACAGAGGATGTGTTCACAGAGTAGAGCTGTTGTCCTTTCTCCAAGCTGGCAAGCTCAAATGTGATCATCCTTTGGAAGAAACTACCCAGAGAGGCTGCAGGATGGCTGTCCAAACTGAGCCTGGGATCGAATTCAAATTTTAAAAGATTACAGTTAGTCTGTTTAAGTAACAATGCAGAGTTTCCTCTTTCCTTTCAGAGCTTTTGTTTGCTTTTATCYGATCCAATTTGCACTCTGAATTAGTTCTCCTGGTGTAGTTATTTCTTACAACAAAACCCAATATTATGTCGTGTATTTCACAGCTCTAGTTCTTCAGAGCTTGGCTAATTCCATGACTTGGAGGGTCTGCTGTCTTTCTGTAAGATCATGCTCTGCTTCTGAATGCTCCAGAAGTCTGCACACAGCCTGGAGCCCTTTTTTTGCACCTAATGCCTCAGTTCAAAAAGACTTTCAGACACATTAAGCACCAGCTTGGTGTGAAATGGGTATTTAACAGTCTTGTCCAACTGGAGAAACTTCTTTTGGCTTGAACGTGGTTGAGATTTCACCCTGAAAAAAAACCTGCATATAGGATACTGCAAATCATATTGCACCCTCTGACAGTCTCCCCCTCAAGGGAAGAGAGCATTTACAACCTCTTCACTGAAGCTGATGGAATGTGGAGAGGGATTCCAGTTGGACTGAAAATAATGCTGTTAAGGCAGGCAAAAAGGGGCTTTCTACTTTARAAGTTGGGACCTTAACTGCTCATATTCTAACCCAAGAATGCCACCAGCTTAAGGTGAGAAAATAGCTTCAAAACCCTAGGGCAAATGAAAGCATTTTCCTGCTGATCTGCTTAATGTAGGATGAGCTGACCTTGAAGATTTTAGAACAAKAAAATAAAATAAAATATATGTCAATAGCTCAGTCACTAAATTAGCAAAACAGCTGCACCATTCTGGCAATGCCATAGGTTACATCAATAAAGTACTTTCACCTCTATCTCACAGAAATCAGATAGTGATCTGTCTCATTATTAAAATGTTAAAGCTATAAAAGAAATAGTGAAACCAATATTATACCGGCATAGCTCAGTAGAAATGCCACAAGGGCTATTTTCTGTAATGAGATATTGTACATCATCTGAGCACGGTGGGCAAAAAACCGTAACGAATGGGGCTAAATCAAGCAAACCATCACTACAAGGTGCCTGTGGTGATATTCAAAATGTAAGTTTGGTGCCTGATGTGCAATTTAGGTGCATCGATCCACTGAAGCAATAACAAAAATCCCGCTTTCGCTCCCAGCACCTATCTGATAGACTGCACACCCGTGAGATGTGCAGGCACACCAGCAGCACACAAACAGGAGCTGAAGCACACATGAAGATATAGCATGCCAAGGGAAGCTGTGTCATCTGGAGGTGGGACAGAGTTAACTCAGTGCAATGACTCTCATGGCATCGTTGATTAATGCAATACTGGATCACAGCTCAAGTTCTCTGCCAGAGATCCACTGGTCTTTTATTCTCTGAACACATATTTCAGCAGCAATGTTCATTTAGGTGCCTGCAGATCTCGTACCAATCGTGTTTAGACATGGTCCTACTGGTCAAAAATATAAGACCATTTTCATGTATTCACTGCTTTTTATTCTAGAKATTAAAGTTTTGTCATAACTAAGGAATGGATGCTGAAATCCTCTATTATATTTGGCCCATGGAGATTCTCTGTCAGGTCTGGAGTTATAAATTACTAGGTTGCCATCCATAATGCAAGGACTGCAAAAACTCGTCTAAAATGAATGCCTTCCCATTTATTAAATGTGCCTTGCTAAATGCCATGAACAGTCAAATCCCAAGCAGCCAGTCAGAAGTGTGACCAGACTGCATTATTCACTGCAGCGTGCACATCACAAAATGAGGCCATGGTAATCAGGTGGTAATGGGGCACATTAGACTCGGTATCATGGCCAGAAGAGGCTCACATGGTAATTGGAATCTAGCATGATGTTATGGCTGGGGACAGTGTTGTTTGTAGAAAATCTCCAGTGAAAGTGTTGTTTTCACAAAGTGTACTGAGATTCTGCTGTTAAATCATTAGAAAAGCATGACCAAGTTTTCATTTCATTTCTTCATTTCATTTCATTTCACTTCATTTCATTTCATTTCATTTCATTTCATTTCATTTCATTTCATATACACTCTTATTTATATCTGGTTTTCTGTAGAAACTACAGTAGCATTATTTAGCACAGTTTTTTTTCCCTGAAATTAGGCAAGTGGATCCTTGTTTTGAAAATACCTTTTCCTCCACAGAAGTTACTTTTATGGAAGTCATTACTTCCTTGACARTGTTTTCTTCCAGTCATGACAGTTTCTCACAGCAGTGAGAATCAGTGTCAGGATTTCTATTTAGCTATCATTTTCCTATGTTGAATATCATTAAAACYGGTCTGATTAGTTCTATCCAAATGTGGAATAAGGATGAGTTTTACCATATTCAACATCTCAATCAATCACAATCACATTCACTTGCAGATATTTTTTCTATAAAATGTTTATCCTAAGTGTTCTAAGTCACACTTCAAATCAAGAATTCCTCTCCTATGTCTCATTTTTATTAACATAACTTAAAATTTCAATGAGCCAGGTAAGAATTAACATTAATAAATTATTGATTTTTGAAAAATCCTGACGGACTAAGGTTGCTTGAAACTGAAACTACATCCTGAAAATGCTGTGCTTCCAAGTCTATTTAATTCCAGTTTGTTGAGTCCTTATTAATTTTTCAGCRGTGAAATAATATCCATAGTCTAACCTTAATGAAATGCTTTTTTGTTCATTTTGATTTTCTGTTTTAGCTCCMGAAGTGTTCCAGGCTTTTATGGATGGAGGTCCAGGATACTCRTACCCAGTGGACTGGTGGTCTCTAGGAATCACAGCATATGAGYTACTGAGGGGTTGGGTAAGAATGATGGAGTTTCTTGCTATCTAACAAAAGTTTCACATTTGCAGTGCCCCTGAATGCACTCCTCATGATAAAATTTGTATGTACAAGGCCCAAGTCAGGAATGCTGTCCTGGTTCTTTCCCATCTGAAAATACTTCTGGGAAGGTTTCACCCCACACTCAAATGCACTATGAAAATTTGCCTCAGTTTGGCCAAGAAAAGGTCTAATGTTTTATGGCTTCTTTACAACACTGAATTGCAAACAACAGTATTTTTTTCCAAATAGAAGTTGAGTTACTTCAGACTCAATTATACCTTTGATTCTCTTGGCTAATACCATAAGAGATCTAATGTAATATCCTAAGATGCTTGGCCCAGGAATAGAAAATGCTTATCTGCCAGTGCATTTGTTTCTTATCTAATCAACTATGTGAATAAGCTTAATGAAAAATCTTCCTGAGCACAGTTGAATATCACAGAAGACAATGGAAAATACTTTTCCATTTTGGTTCAAAGGATTGCAGTCAGTTACTTAAATATTTACTATTCCCCATGGAAAACAGTAGTTTAGGTACTATTTCAGGATGATGACATAGCTGAGGTAGGTGCTTGGGGTTTTTTTTAATTCTTTTTCATTCCTGTTTTGGAAAGCGGATTTTACTGCATTGGAGTATGCTTTTTTACAAGGGGAAAAAAAATTATATTATGGCACTAACAAAGTTCTTTTACCTTGTCTTGCCAGACAATCCATCCCACGAAAAACTCACAATCTCACATAGGATGACAGATAAAGGAAAATMGAAATAAAGAATAATTATTATTCCACTTTTAGATGAAAAACTTAATTGCAGAGTGTCTGCATATTGTTACTTCAGAAGCTACAGTTTTCAAAGGCCTAAAGTTTGGCCAATCTATTTTGTATTTCCATAGAAATAGMAACACTCATGCTCCTGAGACAAAGATCTCTCCCAGGCAGAGAATGTTTCAGCTCTCAAAGCAGAAAAGTATTARACATCTTGCTTAACAAAAATAGCAAACCAACAATTATTCTCTATCAATTTTTCTCTACCATAAATCTCAAACCTTAGGGAGTTTTTAGGCTGACATTCTTCCTGGAACAGAGAAGCTAAAATCTGGCATTGATAAGAATTATMCATCTTCTATCCTAGACACAGATGGTAGTTCTAGCTGCACTTGGAGTAAATTAAGAGAACATCCTGATGGTTTTACATCAGCCCTTTCACCAGTGAGTGCCTCCAASAAAGGAGCACAATGAATGATTGTTAATGAAGGCTGAACTCCCAAGACTAACCACTAAAGATCACTTTGATGTGACAAATTCACTTAAATGAAAATTTATATAGGCTGATCTCCATTTGCCAAGATCCATACAGTCTGTCCTGAATAAGTCAGTCTCGCTGCAAACAAAGCGAAATTGAGACTGAATTAATTTTTGTTTGTTCGTCTTAATGAAAACATTGCCATCTGTATCTGCTCAAGACAACCAAGTCAGCTGCTGGTTTTCCCCTGAAGAGCAGCTCTTGGCTRCTGAGCAAGGCAGAGGATGGCAGAGCCACTGGACACAGAGCTGCCCATGGCTGGAGCGTGGTCATGCTGCTGCGTGGGAAGGGCAGGGGGGTGAGCAAGGAAGGAGATTTAGAAACAAGAAACATCCCAAATTTGGTTTTCCACCTCTGAGCTAYGCATAGCATACGACACTGACAACATGAATTCAAAAGGTGATAAGTAAAATGAGTATAAATGAGTTGGTTTTCRTTGAGCTGAATTTTTGTTTTTATTYGTCTCTACTGCTCAGGATGCTCAAGGCATTCCAGCCATTCTCAATCTAGTTTCCTTCTGCTAGGCAGCCAAAACATGAAATTTGGCTGCAGCTGTAGGAGCAAGTTTTGTCCAGTACAGACCCTTTTCGGGTTACCCACTGTAGAGCTAACATTTCTCAATAATTTTTCTCCTTACATTTTTCTCCTTATCCAGCTGCTAATGAAACACCTACTAAGAAAAAWGCAAATTCACACAGCTTTGCATCAAACATCGATTTTTTTCACCAAGTCCATGAAATTAAAATGTAATTAAACCGTATGATGCAAACTGTTCCACATCAGTCTGTTCTCTACCGACAGACAACTGCTAAAATGCCACAATAAATGTGAATACCATGAATTCAGTAGAGACAATGTGAAGGAATGAGACAGTAGCTGGGGTTCTCAGATTCTGATTTACAATGTGAACAATTTACAACAAACTTTGATTAAAAAATCATAAACAAAAGCAAACCAGACTTTTTTCTTTTTTTTCTTTTTTTTTTTTTCACAAAATAGAACGGAAGGGATAGGACACTCAGTTGGATTAAATAGCTGAAAAACAGGGGAGAGAGATGTTTGAAGTGCCTCAAAAGACCAAACTTATAGTGGCCATTTATWGTTTGAATTAACTAATAAGAATATTTAAAATCTCTGAAAAACTCAAAAAAATCAAGCTTGCAAGTGCTAATAATCTTGAAAATAAGGCAAGCTTTAGGGATTTTCCTGTAAGGAAAGAGGCATGGGCAGAAACAACCTTAACAGAAAAACCTTTTATGATTCATAATTCCTTATAGTTGCTATTTTTAAAGTTAATTGCCATTTTCAACAACTGGTGAACATTCTGTCTCAATGATCCTATTGATCACATTGTTATATCAAGTTAGGTCAGCAGTAGGTTACTTCTAGGTGGCAGAAAGCACGTCAGTGGTTCATTTTTAATAACTGTTTTGTGGTAACATTACCACAGGTAGGGAAAAGCGTATTRCAGACCATTTCTAATGACAATTTTTAACCTGATTCATGAAAATTATATATTTAGAGCAGATATTTAGACCCTGTTCAATTCATGAGGGCATGGTATAACTAAATGACAGCAGGCTATGTCAATCAAAGTAGAAAGWGTGAAGGCCTCCTTGAATATATTTTTAGACTGCCCCAGTGCCTTGGAATGGACTTGGTTTCATACACATGTTCAAAGTTAAATATGTGCATGGATCTTTCCAGAATAAGAATATTTCCAGGGTTTTAATGAAGAGTGACTCCAATTCCTTAACAGATCAGATGACTAACAACCACCTAGACATATTCTTAGATTATAATCTTCTACCAGTAGCAAAACTGCAAAARCCAAGGGATGATTCAGTTCCCAGTCAAGGTAATGGGTGTCTGCCCTTTGCTGTTTAGGATACTGGATTAATATCTATGGTMTCTATTAATATCTATGGTAACTCTATGTTGTTTATGAATTTTGATGCATTAATTTGCACATTGCTGCTAGCACGGCAGTTATCTGCAGATCTCACATCACATCTTTGTCACYTGCTTGGAACAACTGAATTCACAAACAATCTACTCTCTGTCCTTGTTTACAAAAATATGTTAAATGTAATTATAATGACTTGCTTCTAACATAAAAGTGTGTGCACAGAAAATATCAGGAATATGAAGTTATATATAGTACTTTTATTTCAAAATTCTGCATTTAATAAAAGATAAGTCAGAGAAATCTTCATGAACAAAGCCCTGCAAATCCCAGAGCTTTTCTTCATCTATGAAAGAATTTAGGCACTGCAAACACACGACAGCATATCCATGTAATGAGTTAATTTTGGATTTTAAAAAAGGGCAAAGGAGAAGGATTGGGACTTGGAGTCTTCTTTTTACTGTGGTTCCTTTCAGCCGCCTCCTTTCGATTTTGTTGGTTTCAGTCACAAGAACTGATCACTAGTCCAACAAACAAAAAACAGTAAATAATCCACATTTCGCATAAAATGCCCCAGGAACAAAATTATTTATTCATCTCATTTCAACTGATACTTCCTTTCATGGGAGAAAAACTTGCAGAGGAAATGCATCTCTGAGTAATTACATTTATTGCAACCAAAGAAAAGTACGCCCACAAAGGATTAGACTCAAAATGGTTATAAGATGTTTTCGTGGTTTAGATATTTCCAACATAAACAATACTGAGCTCAGGTAAATGTGAATTGTCTGCACTCTCTTATCCATTCTTGCTGACTTGCTATTGATTTAACTTTGTCCCAGAGGCCCTATGAAATTCATTCAGCCACCCCCATTGATGAGATTCTCAACATGTTCAAGATAGAAAGAGTTCACTACTCATCTGCGTGGTGCAAGGGCATGATAGCACTACTGAAAAAGGTAAGAAAGCACAAATACCTTCTTGTCCTCTGTTCTTCCCTCTTCTGGAAGTCCCTCCAACACTGGAAAAGGCACCAGATGAGCACACACTTTAGGTAGTCAACATTTCAAGGAWAAGAGAGCAGGGCTTATTTCTAGGCTATTCTGAATGTGGCTGGTGCAGTATTTTCTTAGGCTTAGATTCAGGCTTTTCACAGCTTCAAAGAAGTAAAAATTTAATATTTTTTTTTATTTTAAAGCTGATTCATTGTTGATAGTAAAAGTTTGAAGATCAGTAATTCTTCCTCTGTGCCCTGGCCCTATTTCCCCCCCAGCTGTGGATATGCAAGTGGGACATGGAAGAAAGGACCACTCAGCCCTCTGAATTTCTGTTGCAGCTTCCAGAAAGGGAGATTAGAAATTAAAATGGCTGTATCTCTTCCTGTCCCATGTTGCTGTAGTTGCAATAACAAAATTCGAGCCACTTTGCTGTAAATGTCCCTAAGCCCCAAGACRGGGCTCTTTCTGAATGCATCTGACATTGAAAATGGTTTTCTTTCTAAAAACCCATTTTTTTGTTTGCTTTAATCGTCTGGCCACATTGCAAAGATAATTTCAGATCATCAGTATTGATACTTGAACAGGAAATATTTGTGAATGTCTAAACAGAGTAATAAAAAATATGTCTTTTGCAGCAATGAGCAATCTAGTTTTGAATAGACAGAGCAGTGAGGTGGATAATTTTAATTGCTGCCAGGATGCTCARTGTAACTGTATCTTCCAAAAAATTAAAGACAAAATACAAATTGTTGGGTGGCATTGAACTGTGATGTTTCGTTTCACTTGGGCTCTTGTGTATTTGTAAACAGACTTTTGTTGCTAATACATTTATACACTTCATGCCTGCAACAGCCATCTGGTGGCAGTTAAATTATACTCATATCCTATGAGTTATTACTTTTTTTTTTTTCTAATTTTAATTGGGACTTCTATTAGAAGATCCCCTAGCCATTTTCTTACTTAAAARTATATATCATACAATTTATGTATGTGGTATATTTACTCTTCTATATGGCATCCAGTCCCTTAGAAAATGCCTTGTGCTTGATCACAGCTCCTCACTAAGGACCCAGAGTGCCGTCTCTCAAGCCTTGCAGACATCCAAAACTCTCCATACCTAGCTGATGTCAACTGGGATGCTGTTCTAGAGAAAGCTGTGACCCCAGGCTTTGTTCCTAACGTAAGTCGATATTCCAGGTGAACAGTGTTTGTAAATTCTGACTTCAGTTATCACTCCATTTTACTTGTTTATGTTTGTATTTATTGCTCTTCAGTGATTTACTTTGGATTCTACTTTCATTTACTCAGTCACAGCTAAGAGAAAATTTGTCCCATTTCAATAGATCACAACAAAAGCTAATTAACCTTGGTTCACTTTTTGYTCCCTTTCACATAAAAGAAAACTTTTTCCAGACTTTGCATTTCAGCTGTTAGAGCATATGATTGTCAGAGTTAACTCTGACAGAAAGAATACCAAGAAGTCTGTTGAGGCTGTGAAAGTTGGACATTTGAATAACATTTGGAAAAWTTTTTAACATCCCAGTATGCTGTTACTTTTTCACTTAAAAAACAGTGTTCCAAAAGGCTGACCTATTTCYTTTGTGACAGTTTCTTACAATAAAACATTCAGATTMTTTGARGGAATCTGGCAGTTTCTTTTTTACYGTGGTCCCATTTTGTTRGTATTTTCTGGGTATTTCCATTTTAATAATTTTCAAGKTAAATGTATTTGAGGGCCACGAATAAAAAGCAATGACTGTGGTGTTAATATACTTCTTCACTTTTTTCAGTCACCTTCTACTCCCAGTTAAAAGTTTAATCCACAACTGTCAGCATGGAAAATTTCACATCACAATGTTTTATAAGGGAGATCCAGTTCCCCATAGCCAAAGGTACAACATGTGTGGGGATCCAAGAGACTCTCAGACTCTGCAAAGATAGCTTTTCTTTTCACATTTGGATTCACTTTATTTCTATTTTTTTTTTTTTGTATTTTTATTTGTTTATTTGCCTGTTTTGACAGGCATCTATAAAACTGAAGGGGAAATATGTAATATTTGAAGCAAAATAATTTTCTACATTTAAAAGGAAATAGGAGTAAAATATTTCATTTATCTATCCAGATTAATCTGAAAGTCCARTTACAAGCTCTACCAGACTCTTCTGTGCAGAGTCAGATATTGCAGGGCTTGTTCCTTCTGATCAATCAAGTGTGTCAGAAAAAACAGTGAGGTGAGAATTGAAGTGTCTTTTCTAGCACAAAATTTCTTTTTRTAGAAACTTTACTGTTTCGTGAGACCAAGTTTGGTCACACATTTTCCAGGAACATTCCCTCTGTTGCACCAGCAAAACYTTCACTGATTAATTGGGACCACACAACAAAATATTTCTTGTTTTTCAGCCTTTGGTGAGCGGTTGAATTGGCACCCTGTGACCTGGGGAGTGTTTGGAGAGTTTTATAAATTTTGTCAGCTTGCCATGACTGTCAGGAGCTTGTCTGCCTTCTACAGCTAAGAGGGCACATGGGAGGCCTGAGGGAGCAATATCCCACAGCTTCATTCCTCCCTTATAGYTTGATTCCATAAACATCTTAACTAGCACATGTGTTTCTTCATGCCTTAGTTAGTTTCTTCATATTCAGCTCRGAGTCATAAATCATTAGTAGGTTTTTTAAAATATAACTTTCTTTGAATTTTAAAGCTTCAGAATCAAAGTGATGTATTTTTTAAGTACTCAATCAAAAACTATGCATGCTCAAGAAAGGAACTGATATCGATGAAACYTAAGGAATTATTCATTCATTAATAAATAAGCTATAAAATGCCATTAATAAAAACCAAATGCTAAAGCTATCTGGATAACATGCAGGAAAAGGCTTCAGATATCTAAGTATTATGCTCTGAGTATACAGAATTCACTAGGAATAAAAATGATGGAGTGATCTCTAAATCAAATGTTTCATTRTAGGACACCACCAGTTATACAAGTAGTTTCTGGTGTGATTTTACTGCTTAGTGTCTTTGGTTACTAAAAATATCTGTCATTTATATGTGACTTATTTCAGTACTTCCACCCTAACAGTGACAATTTTGTGATTGAACTTGCAGAAGTCCCAGAGGAAAACAGGCTGCTTTTAACATCTTCCAGCACACAATTCAAATTGTTTGGAAATTTTTCTAAAGGGAAAGGACTTCCTGGTATARCAAAGAATCTTAAAATTTTCTTCGAGTGGCACAAATTAATTTTTTTTTTTTTTTTGTGGGAATCCAAGGTATTTAAGTAATGTGCATAATGAGTAAGGAAAACCTTAATAAAGTGGATAGAATAGAAAAAGAATAATAGATTAGAATGAAGCACATGATTGGGAAAACCAGGAAGGATTTTCTAAGGACAAATTATACTTTCCAGACTCCATCACATGCAATGACAAAGTAACCAGCTCAGCTGATATGGGGCAAGTGGTAGTTATTGTTTGCCTGGATATCTCCAAGGCTTCAGATACGTTTCCCACTGCCTCCTTTTGGAGAAATTGATGTGTTATGGAATAGACAATGGTCCGTGTGATGGACGGGGAACTGGAACAGGCTGCACCCAGAGGGAGGTGGAAAACAGCTCCTTCTCACATTGTCACAGGTGGGGTCCCCCAGGGATYGATATTKAGTCCAACACTCATAAATACCTSAACAAGTGWTGTRGGTGAGGGGRTCAATGTRCCCTGAGGAAGTTCACTGATGATCCCAAACTGTGTGGGGAAGTGGACACTTTGGGAGAACCCCCTGCAGGAAGACCTGTGGAGAAATGGGTTAACAGGAACCTTATGAAGTTCAACAAGAACAAATATAAGGTTTTAAACTTGGGAAAACATAGTCCAGGGGTGTAGCACAGGGTGGGATCTACTCAGCAGGGGAACAGCTCCAGCAGCTCTGGAGGCCCAGGTGGACAGACAGCTCAGTGTGAGTGACCAGGGTGCTGCCATGGCAAAGGAAGCCAGTGGGATGTGATGTCACATCAACAAGTGCATCACCTGCAGAGATAAAATGTCATTGCCCCATCCTATTGAGGACTTGCCAGGCTACACCTGTAATACTTGCTCAGTTTTGGTCCCCACYACATAAAAAAGATGTGGACAGGCTGGAGAGARTCCAGAGAAGGGCCACAGAGATGATCAGAGGAGTGGGAATCAGGCTGTAAGAGGAAAGGCTGAGACAACTGGGCTTGTAGAGCCTTGAGAAAAGAAGGACTAGGGAGACCTTGTCACCATGGCCCATTATTTAAAGATTGGGTACAAAGACAGAGAGTCCCTTTTTACAGGRTCACATGGAAAAGACAAGGGGTATTGGCTAAAAGTTACACCTAGGAAGATTCTGCTTAGACACAGGAGGAAAATTTTTCATAACAATCAGCTGTCCTGATAATCTGCCCACAAACACAGGGGATTCCCCAAAACCCGACACTTTTAAGATTCAGCTGGACGGGTTGCTGGGCCGTCTTGTTCAGACTGGGGACCATGGTTTTGCCCAGAAAAGTTTGACCASATGATCCTTGAGATCCCTTCCAACCTGGGATTCTATAATTCTGTGCACCCTTTTTTATACAGATAACCAAAACAGGCCTGCTCCTTCCTTTGTTCTCATGGACAGGACCTAAGTAACTGAATCCACTGCARCTCTTCAGAAAATCAGATTTCTACAAGGTCTCAAAGGTACTCCCCATCTCTCCTGCACTGTTAGAGGTGTCATTTATTCTCCACAGCACTGATACTCTGATGAAGACCCTGGGACCTATTAATCTCTCTCACTGGGGTAGCATCACTTTAGTCACTCTAGGGCYATATCTGTTTATAACTAGGAAGAGGATCTAACTCTTTATAATTGGTTGATAATATGATTTTTATCTTATCTCACTTRTTTAAACCTCAAGCATCACTACAGGCCTAAAAAGACAGTTTTCATTTCACAGATGTGATTGAGGAGCTGGTTCATTATTACTGTTATTAACATTTGCCAAGCAAACTAAAAAAAATCACAATGTTRTTTCAAAGAATAACTTTGAATCCTTTTGTACCAGAAAGGAAGACTGAACTGTGATCCCACATTTGAACTTGAAGAAATGATTTTAGAGTCCAAACCTCTCCATAAAAAGAAAAAGCGACTTGCCAAAAACAAATCCAAAGATGGAGCTAAGGAAACCTGCCCACTGGTAAGATGGGGGCTGTGACTGCAGTCAGTTTGTTTACACTCTAATAGGCAAACTCAGTTAAATTCAGTTYTAACACCTCTGAAAACAGACTCAACCTCTCTGTCTGTCATTTCATACATTGCATAAATCATCTCCAAAGCAAGGTGAWAAGCAACCATGTATTTCAGTCAAATAGTAACAACATGTTATAGCTATAATAATTTTTCAGATTATCACAGATGCTCATTTAAAATATGAAAAAGTGTTGCCAGTTGCCAAAAATACTTCYCACACATGGACAAATAGTTACAAARAGTATTTATTCACTACTATTACCAAAAATGAAAAGTATGCAAGGAAAAGGCTTGTTATTTATAAATGTGTTAAAGCTGTCTCTTCCACTCTTGATTAATATGTTCCATGTAGAAAGATGTATTRTATGAACAGTCAAGACTACTGAGAAGATTAGAAATAATTTCCAGACTTGAATTATCATTTCAGTGAGGTTTTATAAATGATGTTGCTACCCCTAATGATTTTGAACATTCATRCAAGCTGTTTTTCCTAGAGCTATCAGATGTAAAAATCCTCCGGAATTCTTTGTGGGGAACTTCTTCCAAAAGAATGAAGTATTGATTGTGCTATCACAGCCCAATTTAATGAGTCTTTGAAATGCCTCTTGATAGTATTCATTCATAAGCCTTTTTGTTCAGTKTTGTTGCTGTTGTTGTGATTTTTGTCTATGATTTCTCATCTTTTTTAATCAACCTATTCATGCTGTTTTTTAAAGAATGTACACCTGCAGCAGTGCTTGGAAACCATTAGGAAAGAATTCATCATATTCAACAGAGAGAAGTAAGTGCATTTCTTAATGCCTCTTTAGCATTCAGTACTAAAATTAAATTGAGAACTRTTKTTTTTTTCTCAAGGTGTWAGGGAAAGTGATTAATGATCACAGCAGCAGAGCCTAAAAGTCTGGATTTCCATTGATTTCTTCCTCTTATAGTCCCTGGTGTGATGGGTTTGTGGTTGTTGCATCTCTGCAAGAAAGCAGAAGACCTTGTGATGAAAGTATGTTAGAAATATAAGGTAAATGTTACTGAAAMTCCCCAGAGAAACTGTCAGCAATTAAGCAAAGGAATATAATACAAGGTACAGCTTTTTCACAACTCAAACAAAACCAAGGGAAATTATAACTCATTAAATTTTAATRATACGAAGTGTATTTCAAAATTAACAATTTCAACAAAGCTAAGTATTAAACCTATACCAGACATGAAGCAAGAACTTATAGTCCAAGGGTCAGGCAGGGTTCCCAGAAACACAAGACTGATTCCCAAGGATAACAATAATTTCCTGGYTCAATTATTGCACTGCATTTCTCGTAGTTTACTTGGTTTGAGTTGCAGCCATTATGGACCCATTTGTTTTAGCAGATAGCCCTCATAACAAGGGAGTTGTTTGTGTCTTTGGTCAGGTTATTGCATTTCGTTCAAGTATATTCCATGATTTTATCTGACCTAATTATATATGCAAGCCTTTCTAATAGAGTTGTGAGTTGTTAAAATTTAATTAAAAAGTTGTGAMTATTTCACTCAATGCCTTCAATGCAGGTAATTACTGTCTCTGTAATTAAAACTGAGGCAGGAATTGTCAGCTTTGCACAGTTTACACAGTAGCACGAAGGAAATTATGCCATGAAATCCCCTTTTTCCTGTCACCATCTGTGGACCATTTCTATGACTGATACTGACTGCTCACAGAAACTACAACAAGGGTTTAGAAAGAAAAGAAAGGTCCAGCAGATTCTTCATGTTATTTTGCATGATTTCTAGCACAAGAATGCCATTTTTTTACTGTAAAAGCCATAAACAAGAAAAGCCAGACCAAGTCAGCCCATAGAAGGYTTTCAGAAGYATCTTGGTRGATTCTCTGGATCAGCTGAACTAMTGAATTGAACAGGCTTGAACACTGYAGTTTAACCYACAAAAATCAAAATTATTAAGATCATAATAACAAGATTAGAAAAACATTAAACTGATAAATAAATTTAATGAGTTTGCAAGAAGTTGTTCATATAATTAATTCATTTCTAGATATCAGTCTCTCACCATAAATAAATTTAATGAGTTTCCTAGAAGTTGTTCATACAATTAATTCATTTCCAGATATAAGTCTCTCACCTACTCCAGAGTCATATATCAAGTTACAAAATGCAGCAATTTTTGGAAGTTAAARCACCAGATTTTGTAAGACACTCAAAATCTCATTGGTGTGTTCACCAACTYGAACAATTTCTCTTGTCATGATTTTGCTGTGTTATTCTTAAATCTTTTTCTGCATAGGATTTTTTTTCATTTGTTTCATATTGCACAACTACAGTAACAAAACAAGCTGTAAAGAACTCTGAGAGGATGATGASAGATCAAGAAGTTTAAATGGAGTACAAGTAAAATGGAAGCAAAAGGTAAACCACATGCACTTCAAGCAGAAAAGCATGTGTTTTTGTCATTTGACAGGGTAAACAAAAAATATGTGATGTTGACCTTCAACAGATCCTGCATTGTCTAAAGCCAGATCACAATAATTTCTTATTTAAATTGCCATTATAGCTTAGGRAAGACATGGAGAGACTTCTCTAATACTTTTCAAAGACAAAAATATTAARAAGAGGGGAGGGAGAGGTCAAATGTTTGAAGTGCAAAGTGAATCCAAAAGTTAATGGGAACAAAATCTGAGCAATGGCAAGAGCAGATGTCATCACAGCAGAAGAAGCCATGCAGAGCACACCAGAGCAGCTCTGGGTGGGTTTCCTTAGACCTTCTGTGCCCTCAAGACTGGATGTACAGGCTGAGGCTGTGATTGCATGGATTTCCAAAGCCACACAGCCCATCAGGTTCTKAGGAACAGCTGCAGATGCTGAAAGACGTGAGCTGTTTGATTCTACAAACACAACACTTATTAATATGTGATTGTATCATTAGGTGAGGTGTCCATCCCAAACAGGGCTTTAAATCAGTCTCAGATTAATGCAGCCAGATGTTTTCACATTCCTCCACCTTCCTCTACATAGTAACTGTGGAAACAATCTGTGTATTTCTTTAGATATTCATTACATTCAKCAACAAAAATCTACATTTTATTGCGACTTAAGCCTTCTCAGTTTACTTCAGTGTCACAGAACACTGCATAAATTCTAATAAAAATGAAAAAAAAAAAAAATAGCATGTCTATTTTGAATCATTTGAATCATTTCTCATGAAAAAAATGAGACTCCCCAAACTACAAGGATTCAAAGAAAAATTTCAGATGCTTCTGACTGAGCAACATAAAGTTGGATAGTATTATGTCATTAATTGTACAATGATAACCACCCCAGTTCCACAACATATTCCAATCCAATACTTGTAAAATATCTGCTAAGAAAAGCAGAATCTGATTTTACTGAATGCATTGCTGGTAGCTCTACACTGTACAACTGTCTCTTTTCCACTGTGTGTCTTTCATCCTGCAACAGACACTGCAAATTTTGCAAGATGTCATACTTGCTTTCCTGTCAAGAAACTCAGGAGATTGTCAGAAACTCTTAGATTGCAGGCAGAAGGAGCAGGGAGAGGTAGAGAAAAGGCTTAGTATGGTAAAAAGAATTTAAACACAGTGGAAGAGGCTGAAGTAAGTTCATAGGTTCAGTTAATGGAGACAAAGGCAGAATGTGCACATTTTCTTTATTCCAATGCTTTCTGTATTTAATGGAAAACTAGTATTTGTAGGAATGTTTTAGCAAGGACTTCCTGGACAAAGACTTGCAGTTAGTGATTGTCAGCAGGGGGTAAAAAAAGTTAGAAATGTATTCCTTACCCACTCCTGATCACACAGCATCTTCTGTTGAATGTTTCAGTGGATGTGAGCTGAAAATTAAAATTCATGTATGTGTGTGTGTGTCTGTGTGTGTGTGTGTGTGAGTGTGAGTKGTGTGTATTTTTATATGGCATAGGGGTATGGCATCTGTCCACAGTGACATTATCTTCCAGTACCATCAAGAGAGGGGCACACACTGCCTTTATCCAAACTAAAATAGTCTCTTACTTAGTTTTGAACACATAAATTAAATAAACTCAGATATAAAAATGGTCCATGCACTGATTAGCTGGAAAATATGATCTGAGGTAGGTTTCAGAGATCTGTTTGGCTCCTTCTAGTGGCAAAGTAATTATTTTGGGGGTTTAATTCCATTTATGTACATAGATATTTTATTATATCCAGAAATGCAACACCAAACAATCTGCAGTGTCTTAATGTATATTCCCATAGACTTGCCAGAAATTTTTCAAGATTTTGATCTCATTTAGAAGCTGTAGGCTACATTTCCAAATTTTCTTTTTTTAGTTTTGTGTGTATGTCTGTGGTGGGGGAGATTGTACAGATAAAGCCACAGTCATTGCTTGTAGCTTTATTAAAAAGCTGAGCACAGATTATTTTGCTATTTTTGTACTGTTATCACTAAACAGACCTTCACATACAATGACATCTTTTTATGAATATCTAAAACCTGAAATGACCAGAAATTAAGAAACAGACTCAATATTTGCTGGTAGCAAAATCATATTTGTTACACTTTATGGTCCTGAGCCTCTTCATTTCCCTGAAAAATGTTTCTAAGATTAAAGATGTCAGTAAACAAAGAACAGAGAAGAAAACACAAGATGTATTTTCTTCTCAGGCAGAATAATCCTTCAGTTAGATGATTCACAAGCTTAATCAAAATTATCAGCTTGCTAAAGAAAACAAAATCATATATTCACCTTTTACTGAGTAGAAAATATATGTTGTCTATCCAATGTGTATGAAAATGGGCTAGAATTCTGCAAAACTATTTTAACAAGTCAAGTGCAATGAACTGATTAGAAAAATATCCAAGTTTTTAATAATTCCAGTAAAAACTTTCAAAACATTACTAGTGATTTTGAATTTTGGAAGTTTTTTTTTTTTTTTTTTTTTTACTTAATACCAGTGTGCTGCAATTGCATTGGTATGATATTCAGCTGGCTTGTCCCCACTGATCTGAACAGGCTTGCCTCTGTCCTAAGCTACTGATAAACCTTATTCCTCTTCTCAGTATTTGTTCAATGCTGCCACACTAAAAAAAATCTGCTACAAATTGAAGCACATTACTCTGTCTTTTCCCACTATCATTCTTACTATTTGAGCATATCTAGCTCTCTCAGAAATGATACTGAACAGCTCAAGGACAACAAACAGTTTCCAGAATGAATAYCAAAATTTGAGGGAGCATATTTTAAACTTATTAAGATGCTTAAAATCATGTTGTCTGATTTTTTCCATAACATAGGTGAAAAGCTTACTTAATATTCTCTGCATTTTTTATAAGATCAAACTTATCTCTCTCTTTGTAGTTCTTTTTCTTTCCTTTTAATTGTCTTTTCAGATTAAAATCCAGAGWCCCTGAGTACTCTCTTTCATCTTAGTTTGATTGAAATTGAATATTCATAATGATTTGCAGTATACTTCATTGAATGTACTTTTCTCAATACGTATTTTATGTCACTTAGTGTCTCTGGAGAAATTTATATTATCATAATCCTTCTAAAATCTGAATGCTTTTTGGATGAGGCTACAGTCCTTTTCTTGCCCCTTCCGCTGACCTGAATTCAGTTTAAATCCACTTATTTCTGAGCATTTCAAGTGGTTGCATTGCTCTTCACTGAACCTTTCTTCTCCCTTTTGTAGTGGATATGTCTGCTTTTGGAGATTGCTCTTGCAATTAGAAAGATGCTTTTCTGMATGTGATTGAACCTGGTTTCTGTTCAGGCAGTAATAACAGTTGCTACTCACA